CCCCGGCCACTCCCTCTGCCTCCTGCTCCGACCCCACCTCCAGCCCAGGCAGGTCCCACCGTGTATCTGTGGACACAGGACACACTGGCAGGCCTGCTGGCAACGGCACTGGGCCTCCATGTCCCCAAACAAGGGAGCGGCCGGGGCCACTGCAAACCCCACAGGACACAGACCCGACTCCTGGTGCAGGACGGGTGAGAAGCGCCAGGGGCAGTGGTAGCCGGACGGGAGCTGACCCTCTGGCTGACAGTCCTCTTTTGTCCCCACCCGAGGGCCCGGCCAGAAGCCACCACGGGTGAGACGGAAGCTGCCCCCAGACCCGGCAACTCAGCGGAGCCCATGACTTCCCACGTTTCACGCTGTGCACCTTGATCACCTGGATCACATGAGCTCATCGCAGGATATTTGCAAAACACGAAAAATAAGTGTAAAGAAAACAACCCACCCCGGGAGCCCCCGTTCCCGCCCGAGGTCTCTCCACCATGTCTCACGGGGTTTGCAGGCCCGCGGGGACCTGTCGCAGCCGTGGGCCCCGCCAGCCCGTCCGTCGCTCATGTTTACGCCAGAAACACCACCTGAGCCCAACGTGTTCCACAGCCACCTCTACAGCCACTCACGTTTGCCCTGAACCTGCACCGTGAATCTGCGCCGCCCCCCACCCCGGGCAGGGCGCCTCAGGGACAAGCCACCTGCCCGGTGACCCTTCCGGAGGGCGTGCTCCTCCCAGCCCTCGCCAGCTCGGAGGGTACCGTCGTTTTAGAAAATCTCTCCTCATTTGACAAGAAAAAGCTGACCCCACCTCCAAGACAGACCAGCCTCCAGACCTGCCGGGCACACCTGGCGCCGTCAGGGGGTCTTACCGAGTTCTTTGGAGCCCTGGCTCTCGCTGGCCAGCTCTCCCATCTTCACGAGCGCGTCGAAATAGCCTTTGGCAGCGTAGGTGACACCTGGAGAGGAGGGGGGAGGTTAGTTTCCTCTGCGGTCAGCAGACCTGCGGCCCGCGGGGCGCAGCCAGCCGTCCCCGGGACGAGACAGGCTCCAGTCCGGGCTGGACCTGACCCTGGGCCTGGGGCTGATGCTCCTCTGGTCTCGCCCCACCTGAGAACACAGGTGCGTTCGGGTGTAGAGCCACCGAGTCCTAGTGCAGGAGCCACTCCCAGCAAGGGAACCAGGCGATGGGGTTGGGGGGACTGAGTGCCCCTCGTGAGACAAAGACTCAGAGAAGCCTGGAACCCGGCCGGTCGAGAGCCAGCTAACCAAGGGTCCTGGCCAACCTGGGAGAGAGAGCTCTGTCCCCCATCTGTCCCTGGTCTGGGAGCAGACTCATGGCTGGAAGTGAGTCGTGCTGTTCAAAGCTGAAGCCACCACTGCCCGTGGGGGGTGGGCAGGGGGTCACACGTGGACCTGGCTTCTCACTGGATCCAGAAAGCTGGGGGCTGCTGAATTCGTGCCCGGCATCTGCTGCCTGGGGCGACTTCCTCCTGGGGGCCCGTGGAGACCCAGGCTGTGCCCTTCAGCTGAGGAGGGGCCGGCCCAGGGCCCCGGGGCCCGTTGCCAGCGGATAATTACAAACTCCAGTCCATTCTACAGAACCCAGTTAGGGGCTTGTAACTGGGCACTTATCAGATTTTATTTGGTGGTTTTTAATCAGGTTCACACAGCGTGTTCTGCAGCCCAGAGGTGGGGGCTCCTCAAAACCAGTGGAAACAGGCTGAACTTGGCACAGGTCTGGCACCGGGAGGCCGAGGGCAGCGGAGGTGATGGTGGGGACGGTCCAGGGAAACAGGTGGAGGGAGGAAGCCTGTGATTCTGCTCAGGCCCCTGGGGAGCCGGGGGTCCAGGTGGGGATGGGAAGGACCGGGAGGGAAAGCTGCGGTTCACACCACAGAGCAGGCACATAGACCAGGGAAAGGCAGGCCGAAGCCTTGGCCAGGACGCCACGCACTCGACAGGGAAGAGCCTGGGCTGAGAAGTGCCCCACAGACGGCCCTAAAAAAGGAAGCAGCTGCCAGCCTGCACCGTCCTGACACTTCCGATTCCCACCCCGTGTGCACAAGGAAAATGAGGCCCAGCCGGGAGGAGGTGAGACCGGCCCCCGCGCCGGCCCCGCGCCTCACCTGCCAGGGCCTTCTCGTAGTTCTTTCCCATGGCGATGAAGTTCCGCAGGCTGGGGTTGAACTGCTCCATGATGGTCTGGGAGAGAGGAGAGAGCGTGTCAGTGGCCGGGGACCAGCCATGGGGACGAATGCAGGACGCACATCGCCTCAGGGAGGCCACAGCCAGTTGCCCAAGCCCACCTGTGCCCTTGAACGCCCTTGAGCAAACAGCCTTTCGCATCTGTACAATGGGGACAGGAACAGAACCTGCGGCGGCGGGCTCTGCGGCCCCCTCAGCAGGCCGTGGGGCCGTGCGGGCCGTGGGCCATGCGTGGCACACAGTGGAGCCCAGACGCGTGGCTGCTCAGATGCCGGGTCGTCTGGCAGGGCTGAGTCAGCCGAGCGAGGCCCTCCCGCCAGCCACACGCTGACTCTCAGCGCCCTGTGTCCTCCCCACCGAAGTCCTCGCTCAACACGCCAATTACCGAACAGCAGCTCTGATTAGCACCCCACGGCCGACCCGCACGTGCCCGCTATGAGTAACCCGCCGGCTCCAGAGCTGTGCGCCGTGGACTGACGTCTTGGTGCCAATATCAGCAGTTCTTAGATCTTAGACTGAAGAAATTAGATTTCCACTCAAAGGCCAAATAGATGTTTTAATTACAAGGCATAAACACAGGCACACACAACCGGAGCCAAGCGCCTTCTCCCGGGGAATCTGCACCGACTGCCGACAGCCAACCCCACCAGCCACGCGGGAGAGACACCCCGTCAAAGACACCCCGTCTCGGCCATGTCCTGTCTTCAGGGCCGTTGTTACCACCTGCGCCCCATCGTTCCTGAGGCTGAGGAAAGGCGCGGAAGGGAAGCCCGAGGCCCCTGAACAGAGGCCAGGTGCCCTCCCCTCCCAGCCCAGGCCACGGCCCAGGCAATGCCCTTCTGTCCCCTGCTGCTAGTGCCCCTCAACCAGTGTGACCAGTGTGACCAGCACAACAGACACCCAGAAGGGCAGCGGGACCTGGCTCTAGAAAACCCGCTACCTGGCTCCTGCCTCCATCTACCCGCCCTGAGTTTGGCAGGAGCGTCAGCCCGGGGCACCCACCGGGCCCTACAGCATGCGGGGACCCCAGGGAGGAAACGCACAGCCAAGCCCCCAGCGCAAGCTGGACCTCAGCTCCTGGACCACCTGCCGCATGATCACCAGGGCTGAGGCACACGGGGCAAGAGCAGTGGCCCCAGAGATGAAGTCCCGTCCCCAAGGGGCTCCCAGCTCACGTGGGGGTGGGGAAAGCTCTCAGCTGAGGTGGGCAGCAGGCGCCTGGGCATGTCATAGGGAGAGGGAAGCCGCCGGCAGGCAGGGGCAGGGCAAAGGCCCGGAGCCAGGGCCCGCTGGGCGCTCCAGGGCGACAGTGTAATCCAGTGCCAGGGGAGGGGGCAGGGGGCAGTGCCGTGATGGGCCAGAGCCCCCGCCTCGCAGACAGCCAGGTGGTCCCAGGGCATTTCTGGAAGATCCCCTCTGGCTGCAGGGTCCAGATTGCAGCCAAGGGCAAGGGCAGGTGTGGGGACTTGTTGGAACTGCTCAGTCACCTAAGAGGTGAAGGTGCCGTGGAGGCAGTGCCCACGTGTCCTGAGCATGGTGGACCGATGGGGCGTGGGCGGGGGGGACAGGACGCAGGTCATTGGTTTGGGGACTGGACCCTGCAGTGGGGAACCCAGAGTCCAGACACATCATGTGTAGGGAGTGAGGGCTCGGGGTGGGGATGTCATGTAATGGGCAGGTGGGCATCCGGGAGGACTCTGAGCCAGGTTAACGTGTGGCCGGAGAGCTCTGGGCCTCGTGGCTCAGCAGCCGTGTGGACCTGTCGGTAGAGAAACCGCCAGGGCTGCGCTTCTCCAAATGGGAGAGGGTTTGGACAGAAAGGCACAAGCCTAGGAAGGCGGGTCCCATCCCGAGGCCGGCATCCCAGCGTGTGCACGTGTGTGCTCAAGTATGTGCATGTGTGTGCACGAGTGTACATATGGGTGCTAGTGTGTGTGTACAATCTCAGCACCTTTCTCCCTGTGGTGACAGGCGCGGGTCTGAGACGCTGTCCCAGAGGGTGAGGTTCGAGGACCTGCACTCACAGGCCCCGGCGAGCTGAGCTCCAAGACCTCGCCCCCCCAGGTTCCTGGGCAGCACCGCACCCCCACCCTGGCCCCGCCCAGCTTGTCCTCTGAGCTCCATTACCTTCCTGAGCGATGGCAGGAAACAGTCCACCAGCTGCCCAGGCCAACCACGGAGGTCACCGTGACGGCCCGCCCACACCCTCCCAGTGACACCTGGGGACAGCGCCAGGTTTCACTTCCTCAGCTCAGCGCTGAGCTCACGCACAACGAATGTGGGAGCAAGTAGGCAGGACGGGCACCTGTGCAGGGCAAGGCCCTCGCCCCGCGAGGAGGGGCGGGTGGCCAGGACACGGGGGCTGGTCACACAGGTGTGGCTGCCTCCTGGAGGCTGACGCCCAGAGGAGTCTCCTTCCCTGTGGAAGGGTCAGCTCTGCCTTCCAGCTCAGAGTGGCCGCCCAATCCCTGACCCGAAGGGCCACCCTTCCTGGGGCGGGCGGTCGTGGCGTCACCTGCCTGCCTCAGAGATTTCCTAAATCCGCACAACTTTGTTGGGAGGGGCCTGGGTGGCCCAGGAAGGACCGAGTCCCTCCAGTGGGGTGTCCTCTCTTGCCCGAGTCCCTAGCTATTCGAGGACTCACGCAGACGCATTTGGATTCAAGGTGGGCCCAGACCATGCTCAGAGACCTGGAGAGGGGTGCCTGCCCCCCCTGCCTGCCCTCCCGAACCAGGCCCTGCGGCCGCCTGCGTCAAGGGGCAGGAATGCCAGGAGCCCCCACCATCTCTCAGAGGAGGGCCTGTGGCCCCATCACCACACTACATTCTCAGAAGCGATGGGACAACTGTATTTTTGGGGGAACTCTCTGCTCAGAGAGAGCCAAGATCCAAACATGCAAACACCCTCCCCAGCACGTGCCCTGGCTGTTCACTTGGGAAGGGGAGGGAGAACCTCTTTGTTACGGGCACCGAAGGGAACCGGAACAAAAGCAAGGCCGGGACCCTCGGGTCCTGGCAGAGGAGCAGCGGCGCTCTGTGCAGCCGACCTCAGGCAGGGCCCCAGCAAACCACAAGCCGGCCCATCTGCGGGCTGTGGGCGCCCAGGGCCTCAAGGTTCACGCCTCACCCCTGTCATGAAACTCGGGGGCCCTGGAGAGCCACAGGGTGCACCGAAGTGTCGTGGGACCCCATGCTCCGAAGCAGCTCCCCAGGCCAGGACCGAAACCTACGTGGGCCTCGACCAGCACCTTCACACTCCAGCACCTGCAGTCGAAACCCCTGGATCTGTTCCCACCCTGCTGACAACGGGAGGGACCGGCCCAGGGCCCAGGTGGCCATGGGTCCCCCACACCCCATAGGCTGTGAACCCCACAAGGCCTTCCTGCGTGGCCCGCTCTGGTGACTCCCTGGGCGGTGATAGCCATTTTGATTTTCACGGGTCACGGGTCACGCGTCTGCCCGACAGCAAGGACAAGGGCAGTGGGACACACGTCTCCAACTCGGGAGACCAAGAAGGGGCTCTGCAGGGCCTCCCCCAGCGGCCCGGCCGCCTCGGGCTCTGCTCCCTCCGGCTCCGGCCAGGGCCCCTCTCCAGCCACTTCCTGGCAGGGCCGCCGCAAACAAAGAACAAAGTTTCTGTGCCGCGGACGGAAGGGAGGGCGCGCCTCCTGCCTCCTCTCCAGCCCCACACGCAGGAGCCGGAGCGGTGGCCTCTGCGCCCCGCCTCCGTCACCCCGAATCCTCTCCCAGTCAGTCTGCGTCGCGGCCCCACTGTACCGACGGACAAAGTGGGGTGGTTACGGGGCTGTGCCAGTGCCTGCTTCGCCCTGGGCTGGCAGCACAGTGGCTCATCCCCCCCCACAGGCTCCAGCACAGCCGACGGGCCACCAAGGCTGCAGGACAGGACCAGGTGCCACCAGGTAGCTCCACCTGCCTGCGGCTCCCCAAGGAGCCACGTTTCAGCCACAGCAGAATGGGGTGAGGTTGAGGTGGGGTCCTGCTCCAAGCCCCCCTTCTCCAGGAGGGCCAATCCCTGGCCACCTGTCACTGCGGCCTCCCCCCAATCCCCATGGGCATCAATTAGCTGGGGCTCTGGGCAGAGTGCAGTCTGTCCCTCTCTAAAACCTGGGACGTCTGTCCTGGGAACCTTTCTTAAAGGAGTAAAACCAACTCCAGGAGTTCAGTAGGTGCTGGGGGGCTTCTTGGAGGAGGCAGATCTTGAGCTGGGTTTCGTTTGGTTAAAACCAGGGACAAATCAAGTGGGCTGACAACGCTTTCAACAGCACCAGGCTCCCCTCCCCACACTCTCCACCAGGCTCTCCCAGGGGCCATGAGCCCCACCCATAGACCACAAGCCCCCCTGGGCCGCAAGGACCCCCCCACTCTCACGGCCTCAGCCTGACGCCTCCAGCTGGGGTCAAGGGCCAGGGCCACAGGCAGCCTCCAGAGGAGGGATGCGAAAGCACTTTGCAAAGGAACCCTGCACTAGCAATGGGAGCAGGGAGGGCTGGGCCCGCCCCCAGCGAGGGGGAGGGGGGGCCCGGAGGGAAGCAGCCACATGCTGCTCAGAGACCAAGGGTCTCCCTAGAGGGGCTGGGGTCTCGGCCTCCTCAGCTTCCCAAGAAGTTGCCAACATCATAATAAAATGACATCTCATGTCTGCCACGGTGCCCTAGTGACATCAGGGAGGAGCTGAAGGGTGGGTATCCCGTCCTACCGTGGCGTGGGGCCCGAGGGTGCTGGGCAGGGTCTGTCCTGCTGTGAGCCGCCCCTACAGGAACCAGGCAAACCCCATCAGACCAGAAGCCAAGAGCAGCAAGGTCCAGACACGGGCCCCACTGGCCCAGCCACTTCCTTCCTGTCCGAGAGGCCTGTCCTGCCCATCCAGAGCCAGGGGCAGGGCCCTCGAGGGACTGCAGACACCTTCCAGTGTGCGGTCCTGGGCCGCTCGTGTCCCGGCCACTCAGGCTGCCCCAAGGACACGTGTGTTCCATTCACTTTCTGCCTGTGGTCAGGCTACACTGGGGCCCTGTTCCCGCCAGCTGCTCACAGGATGGGATCTCAGGAAGCCCTAAGAGACCTGCGTTGTCACACACTGAGGGCTGGTGTTTGATTGAAGGTGGGGGGGACCCCTCAGGGCCT